CACGGTTTTCTTTTGTCATTTTTGCTCATGAAAGTTGCATTTTGTCCTTGGCAAGAGAAATTTAACGTAACACGACACATACTTGGACTTCTATATATGGGGGTATTGTGCTCCTCTTCTTTTTTCTTTTTTCTTTTTTGAAAATAGGTACTGGAGGCGTATTGTGCTCGTTGGCCGACTCTGTGGTCTGTAGTTGCTAATCTGAGAAAATGACAGGGAGAAAAATCAAATCTAAATAGTTAATTAGCTGAATATGAGAATGAATTGGATGCGAATGTGATTGGTGATAAAAACCTGAACGATGCATAAGGTTATGAGTTTAAATTTATGAACAAAGGGAAGCAATTTTTTATTCAAAATATTGCGATCTCCTTTTATATGTACTTGCATATATATTGTTTGGGAAGTCTGTAAAATCTTGACACATATAAATTGAGTGCTCTTGTAATTGATAATTTAATTATCGACAGCATATATAGACTCTTGTAATTGATAATTTAATGTCTTAAATCTCTTCTCATAAAAAAAGTATGAGTGTTAGTAATATATAAGTATAGATATTAATTATTATTAATATGAGTATTTTAAATACTTCTAAACCTTATCCCAAAAAATTAGTAGGTGGGCTTCTTGGGCTTATCAACAACTTGAGCTTCCTTAACCCGAAATGACACTGTTTTCAGTTCTTCTGTCTGGGAGGAGAACAAAGTTTTTGAGTCAATTCAAGTGAAGTCTTTTTGCTGGATTAAAGGGGGTCTGAAAAATTGACATTCAGCTATAGCGATTGGTGTTCGTCCCTCTTTGATGTTGTTCTTAATTTTTAATGATTAATAAAATCATGTGTAAAATGAAATTTTGAAATACAAGTTTTTCAAAATCATGATTTTTAATATATTTAAATTTATAATGTGTTTAAATTGAAGGAAATAAATAGGAGAAGAAAAATTCTCTTTATTTTTTCTTTTAATTTAATTACTTATTTAAATAAAAGGAAGGAAGGAAGGGAGAGAGAGGAGGGGAAGGGAATTTTTCTCCATACCCCCTTTCTCTCAACCCAAACATGGGGTTAAAGTTTTTACATTTACACTTATAAATAAATTCTTAAAAAAAGCTACACTTTCTTTTTCAAAAATATTTGATTTCATCTTTAATATATTTACTTGGGTGAATATTGGGTCTCCATATTTAAATATTACACCTAAAGAAATTTTAATTTCTATAAGATTTAAGCTTTCATAGTTATAAACAAATTTTCTATCATAAAGATTGCCTAAATCAAATATTTTAATTTGCTCTCTAAGCTTCTCACAAATGTAGGAAGTTTAGTAACATATCAAAAAGGTTCCAGAACCTTAATGAAGTCTTGAAACAAAAGGAAATCAATGACTTTCCTTTATGTGTTACATAAGCTAGTTTGACTTGGATTTATGTGTGAGGACTTAAAAAGATATTTTGGAGAAGGTACCAAGCAACAAAGTGTAGATTTAGTGCAAACTCGAGAAAAAGAGTTCAATTCTTCAAGTTTAGTTCTTTGTGTGTTTATTTTTGTTATTCGATTATCTAAATAATTAATAGTATTTGTTACTTTTTTAAGGGTGAGAGAGTGTTTAAAGGGAAATCATTGTTAGATCCAAAAAAGCTTTTGGGTTTTGAAATAAATTGTAACATACAGACGAGTTATTAAAAGTGAATAATATCAATAAAACTATTGTGTATAATTTTATTTATACCTACAAGTTAGAGAAGAATGTTTGAATTTAAATCTAATCCTTAATTAGGAGGTTTAAGGAGTAGATTGGAACCATATTGTAATCAAATTATTATAAATCACTGTATTTAATTTTTCCCTTTCTTTACTCTTTTAATATCTACAATTTAATTTGTTTGCGTGTGCTTGCATTAACTTGTTTATCATTTTAATTCTAAAAGTTCCACAAGTTTTCGATTTACTCCCCATTGGGCTATCTTTTGGGCCAACATTTGATCTCTATATGTTTGTTCGAGACTAAGCCCATATCTTTCTTCTTTATTCGTTTTGAGTTGGATTTATAAACTATTGAGTATTAGAGTGCAAGAATCGGACTACTTTTTATACTTTCATAAATAATTTTTTTACTAAAAAAAAAGGGTATATTAATTTTAATTCTTAATAACGTACTTAATCTATTTTAAAATCCACTCATAAGGAAACATATTGTTATCCTTGCCTCTATATTTAACCAATGGAATGATCTAACATAGATCAAATCAAAGATTCTGCTTATATCAATCCAGCCATCGTTGAAAAATTTAGGATTCAAGATTAATAATATATTACTATGTTATTAGACTTTTATGTTTTTTAAACCAAATTGCACTTTTATAAATTAATAGAAAGAAAATTTTTATTAAAAATATTTTAATAAATAAATAAAATATTTTATAATTTAAATTATATCAAATTATAAATATATTTTGTAATTCAATCTCTCTGCCAAACCCAAAATTGAACTAAAGATTAAAAATTCAGCTAAAAAGCATCCATACCCAAAAACCCAAAAAATCAACGATTGCCAGTAAAGAGAGTAGTCGCTTTGGAATGCAAGAACAAAGATTGAGCGCGTAGAAAATGCGGCGTTTGAGGGAGAACAGCAAGGTTCGGCGCGTTGAGGAGGCGAATTGCGAAAAAGTGCTTTTTAGCCAATTGCAAAACACCGTGCATTGGCTGCAATTTGCAAATAAAGTCTTTTTCTAATAATATTTAATTAAAAATATTTAATGTAGTCTGTCGGAGGTCAGAACACATAAAATTATTATTATTGTTATTATTAATTTGTAGAAAGGGATTGGGAAAGGGGAGGGGAAATGATTTTAACCCCAACGATCATGTTCAAAAAACATCAAACTATTTGAAAAGCTCATTTAATAATAGATTTAATTTGATGATATTGATATATATTATAGTTGTATATTTTTT